CAAGGCTCCCCCCCGCGGAAGAGCAAAATTTTTTTTTTTTTTCCAAGCCCCTAACTCGCATTTGGCATAGAGACAGCTCGCATGAGAGTGGCAACTCCTGCCAGAAGAGCCCGGGTCATGCCGTAGGGCTAAGCTAGATCTGGTGCTTTAGAAAGCCAAGGCAGCGAGGGACACGATCAAACAAGGACCAGCAGTACTGTCAGGGTCCCTCCCTCAGCCTGAGGTCCTACAGCACTGCATCACCACACTGGAAGTGGAAGGCAGGGCAGCCAGCCTGCCCCGAGAGCTCTTGGGATGTCCTCAGTCTTTCTGTCTGTAGGACAAGCGAGAAGGCCCTGGAAGCACTTCCTGGGCACCTCTGAAAGCTCCAGCTCGTGTCTGGTGGGTGGTGAACGCTGGGCAGCTGGCACTAGACAAGTATGAAAATAGCACGAGACAAATTACTCTGATTTCTGTAACCACACACTTCCTCTCTACCCTCTACCTTTTTCTAAAGCTTCCAGGCTGCTTGCTGCTCACACACAGCACAGCAGCTTCTCATCTAGCAGCAAGGCACCCTGAAGCTGCTAAGCTTCATAAAACCATCACCAAATCTTAGTTTCATATTTGATCTTTCCTCAAATTAGTGATGCCACCACACTCATAGATGAATGGCTTCTGTATCAATTCCTCTTGTCTGGACAGGAGCAGAGAATGGCAGCGGCTCACAGCAAAGGAAGTGGCAGGTTTCCATTGCCACATAACCTTATCCTCTGTCACGTCAATGACCCCTTAATGCAAATGCCCAATGCCACATCTCAGCCTTCTCTGGCTTCTAGTGCACTTAGCTTTCAGGAGACCCAAGAATACTCCTGTGAAAACACTTTTCAAAACTGTATTTTATTTATACCCAACATTGCAACACCAACAGCAAAAAAAAAAAAAAATTAAAAAAAATAATCCAAATACCTCCCACACAACAAGAAAAGCTACAGCCACTGTTAACTACCACCGTGATTATTCAAGACATACTGCTCCTCTCAAACCCAATCAGAAAGTGTTAGTGCAAAAGCTTCCAGTGCAAATAAACATGTAATAAACTTCTGTTAAATCCCAAGGGCTTGAGTCAGAGCCCAGTCCTTTAGATCATCGTGCGGTGTTAAGGCAATACATAAAATTTTGGGGGTCCCCCCCCCCCCCGCTGTCCCCGTGGGACCGTCGGCCTGGGACAGCAGAGTTGCACTGCAGCGGACCCAGCAGCGCACACTGCCCCTTCCTCCATCCTTTCAATTTCAAGTTCTGTCACCCGTTAGTCATGATCAGCTTTCCTACACAAGACTGAATTCGGCCGGCGGTCAGCCACCAGCCTTGGTGCTGCGGAGCCTCCATAGCAAGTGGCACCTCACTCACGCCCCGGGGCAGTTGTGACTTCCTCTGGCTCCAGTCTGGCTGGGAGGAACCAAGCCGAGTTCCCCGTGCTGTGTCTCACTGAGCTCCCGGCCCCATCCCCACCCCGTGACAATTCAACTGCACTGATAGAAAAAGACTTGCTGCAAAACAAACCCCTATGGCTCAAGTACCGTTTGTTAGTAGAGGACATGTTTCTACCACAACCTGATTTTTAGTTCAAGTACCCTGTATCTGTCACCAGTCACAATCCCGCTGTACTTATCAGTAGCTTCTTTTCCAATGCCATCTGTAGTTGTGCGTTGCTGACATCGCACACCTGATGCTGTTGTCCTTTACCAACATCCACATGATCCACATCTCGGTTGGGTTTAGTCTGTGCACAATCATCAGCTCTTTGTACAAGCACGGATCAAAACGATTGAAAGGTCTCTGGATCCCAAAAGTCTTAAAGCCAGCGTGGTTCTTTGGGGTCACTGCCATCTTTGCCAGACACATTCCCACAAAGACGTCATCTATTGGGAAGAGCTCCATGTCCTCTGCGGTGCTCCGGAGGCGGCGCACTGTCTCTCTAGACATCACATAGCCCCCCCCACCCGCATAAAGAGGATAGAAGGGCTCTCTGTACATGGACTCTGGAATAAAGTATTTGACCTTGGTGTTCCTGATGGGCCGGGCTTTGGCAATCACATCCCCAACAAAGAGAACCCGTTCAGAGTCCTGTTCTTGGAGGAACTCAACAACGTTATCAGTGTTGACAAAGACATCATCATCACCCTTCAGCACAAACCTGGCATGCAGGCAGTCCTCCATGAACCAGCGGAGGAAATGCAGCTCCTTGAGGGTCAAGTTGAAGAAGTTGTCAATGAAATCCCACTGCAAGATGTCATCAAACTCCTGGCTCTCGTAAGCCAGCAGCTGGTGCAGAGGCTGTACCTGGATTTTGGCCTCCGAGCGCCCCAGAAGGAATACTAGCCTGATGCGCTTGCCACCGATGGAGACCTCCTTCCCCCATGTGTTCCTGATTGCCACCCGCTGGTCTATGTTGATGGGGGAAGACTTGATCGCCAGCAAGAGGAACGTCTCTTTGCTACACCTGGAAGGCTTCAGCAGGACCGAGAAGTTCCGGCAGTGCTTGTACGTTAAGAAGACGCGGTGAAGTTCCGGGAGGGTGAGAGAAGAATTGGCAAAGGTCAAGTCTGGCAAACACTTGCTGAGTTCAGCATCGTCCAGAACCAAAGATTTCGGTCTGTCATTCACTACATCCACTTTCTGGTCTGCTGCTGACGCTGCCAACT